GAGCAACACAGAAACGCAGATACCCCCCAGGTGGTGTCCCAGCCCGATGCGAGCGTGTTTCCCAAGCCGCCATGTTGGGAAACGGGCCTACTCCCATTACCATCAGGATGGCGATCCTTGCTGCAGTCGGGCAGGCAGTGACTCCAAGGATGGGAGAGCCCATGTGCCCTATCCGACTCGACAGGGCTGTGCCTACCCTCAAGGGCATCAGCAACTGCGCTGCGATCATTCCCACCCGTCTCCCTCCCTCGTGCTCCTCTTCACCTCGTTCAGGAGGACCGCCGATGTCGTACTTACCTTCCTCCAGCGCGTTGGGTCGAGAGGGGACGAGGGAGCCTCCAAGACGCCCCCAACCGGTTCCAGGAGGACCTCCGGGAGCCCCCCAGGAGGCCGAAATCCATTGATTATCTTTGACTCCGGCCAGTCATCTGTGCGCAGGTGGTTTTACGATTCGCCTTTCCTTGTTCCAAAACCTTTTCTCCCCGCTCCCACCCCCCTCCCCTGGGTCTGGGTGGAGGGCTACTTGCTGTTCGGCAAGGCGCTGCAGCCGAGCGCAGGACCCCCTCATCCTCTGCGGAGTCTCCTCGCCTCGACGCCGACGGCGGCGGCGACCAACATTCTCCTCCTTCTCCTCCTCCTCCTCCTCCTCCTCCTCATCCTCCTCCTCCGCCTCGTCCTCCGTGTGTCGTAGGCGAGATCCGTAGTCGCGGCTGGAAACATCGCCTCCTCCGTTTCTTCGTGTCGACGCCGTGGTCGCGGTCTGGTGCCGTCGTGGTCTTTGTCCTCGGGGTCGTATTTTTTGTCGGCGTTGTGGGTGTCGGCGCCATCTCCACGCCTCTTCGTCATAGCTTCTCGACGCCTCATCCCCACCTCGTGTTGCTCTTCTCCTCTTGGTTGCACGTATTGTAGCCCATCCTGGAGTCTTGGTCGTACGTTCTGAGGGCTGTGGGAGGTTTCCAGGCGCTCGGCGGGACCGGCGGGGGGGGGGGGGGAGATGAAGGGGAGAGGAGCGTGGGAGTTGGGGATGAGCGAGGAGGGCGAAGGAGGGGAGAGGAAGGGAGGAGGAGCTTCCTCATCAGCTTCGCCCCTCGACGCAATATCCTCCCCTCGTCATCCCCATGTCTCTCTTCTCTGCCGGCTCCTTCTCTGACTCCACAGGCGCTGTTGTTTTATTACTTGGGCCATAACGCGCGTTATGGCCCCCCCCCCCCGCCCCCCTCCCCTCCCCCCATAACGTAACGCTCCGGCCCCCAGAGCGCCCCCGACATTGCCGTCGTGCGCATAGGATCCGCAGAGGAGCCCGAGCAGCGATCCGCAAAGGCATCCGCACAGAAATCCGTGTAGGAATCCGCATGGGGATCGCATAGAGACATCAATCGGGCTCCGCATTGGGATCCCAAGGATCTTTATAGAGATAGGCATAGGGATTTGCATAGGAATCTCCATAGGGATCCGCATTGCATAGGGGATCCGCATATGGTTCCCCAGAGGCATTCGCATAGGGATCCGCATAAGGATTCGCATAGGGTTAGGGATCCGCATGTGGGATCCGCATGGCAATTTGCATTGGCATCCGCAAAGGGATCCGCATAGCTATCCGCATAGGCATTCGCATAGGGATCTGCACAGGGATGCGCATAGGGCTCCCCAGAGGGGTCTTCATAGGGATCCGCATAGAAATCCGCATATGGGCGGTGGTCGCGGGCAAGCTACGGTGCTCTCAGGCATTTGACAGAGAAAGAGACAGAAGAGAAAGAGAGAGAGAGAGAGACAGAGAGAGAGAGAGCAATTGGAGGAGAAGGACGACGACGACGACGACGACGACCGCGACGACCGACAGCGAAGAGCGACGACGACGACGAGGAGGAGAAAGAAGAGGAGGAGGAGGAGGAGGAGGAGGGAGGAGGGAGGTGAGGAGCATACCTCTTATACGCCACGTGGAGGCATCGACACCTTCGCAAGTCTGTGCTCGCCACAACTCCTCGCCGCTCTTCGTTGTCGTCGTCGTCGCTCTTTGTTGTCGGTCGTAGTCATCATCGTCATAATCGTCGTTGCTCGTCGTCGTCGTCGTCGCTCGTCGGCATCGTCGTCGTCGCTGTCGTCGGTCGTCATCGCTCGCGGTCGCTCGTCGATGTCAAACGCCGTCGGATGACCTTTGGAAGGCCTCAGGAGGCTTCCAGAGGCCTCGGGAAAAAATCTGGGGACCTCCAGAGGCGTCGCTCGTTGTCGTCGTTGTCGTTTTTGCCGCTCGTCGTCGTCGTCGTCGTGGTAGTGGCCACTCGTTGTCGTCGTCATCGTCGCCGTTATCGTCGTCGTGGCTCGTCGTCGTGGCTCGTCGTCGCCGTTGTCGTCGTCGTCGTCGTCATCGTGGTCCCTCGTCGTCGTCGTCGTCGTCGTCGTCGGTCGTCGCTATGATCGCTCGTCGTCGTCGTCGTCGATCGCCGCTCGTCGCTCGTCGTCGTCGTCGTGCGCGTGAACACTGTGGTGGCGCCGAAGCCGGGCGGCGGGGAGGGGGGGGCGTTACGTTATGCCCCCCATGGGGATCGGATCCGTAGGGCAGGCAGGACTATCCTCGAGGAGATCTTTGGAGATGTGGCTCGCACCCTGTCGAAGAGAGCCGATAAAAGACGCCAAGATGGCTCAAGAGAGCTCCAGTAGAGTTTCGAGATGTACCTGGGTTGTGGGTCAGAGTCCTCGTGGATGCTTCATGCAGTCTCTTCGGAGGGCTCTCGGGAGCCTCTGGGGAGCATTGTTGAGGCCTCTGGGGGGCTTCTTGGGGACGTCTAGAGGCTTACTGGGACCTGTTCGGCGTCTTGGGAGCCTCTTTCGGGGCCTCTTGGGGGGCTTTTAGGGGGCTCTGGGAGCTTCCTGGGCGCCTCTTGGGACCGAGAGCTCGAAGTGTCTGTTCGAGTTCCCCCTATGGGCCCACTCTTGGGACCATCCTGGGGCCGTCTTGGAGGCCTCTTGGGCTGTCTTAGGGTCATCTTGGGCCATTTGGGAGCCCTCTTGGAGGCTTTTCGTTCCGTTTTGGAAGGATCTTGGGGCCTCTTGGGCCGTCGAGGGCGGTCGGCAGCTCGAACAAGGCAGTACCGCCAAAGTCGTCCGAAAACCTTGGCAAAATCAATGATTCCCTTGAAGTCTTCTTGGAACCCTCCTGGAGCGTCTTGGGCCGTCCTGGGACCAACGTGGGCCATCGTGGAACGCTCTTGGCCCGAGGCCGTGGGGCGTGCCACCCATTGGCGCCTCATTGGGGTGCTTGGGGGGGCCCCGAGGCCGCGCCCAGGAGTTCCTGCATCTCTGATCCGACCCTGCTGGGACCTTGCCGGCGCGTAAGCAACCATTACGATGATTTCAGATAGTCCCATATGTCTGTCATGTGTTCGTTTGATCATCCTCATATCCGTCTTTCTTGTTCCCCCGACTCAGCATATCATCGATTGGCGCGGTCAATTCCCGTAGCTACCACGCACTATTTTTCTTAATTACCAGTTGCAGTGACCAGTTCGCGCAGGTGCGAAAGCCTCCTGGAAGAGCCCCAGGATCCTCATCACTCTCGATGTCCTCCTGCTCGCTGTCCTCCCCCGCCCTCCCAGTGGCCAACATTGGCTACGACCTTCACCTCGTGCCCATCCCGAACCTCGGCTGGATGAATGGCGTGGCGGCACTGTGCATGGTGCCGCCGCCTGCGGCAGCGGACGGGGAGAGGAAAGGCAAACGGTGGGCATATTTTGATCGCCCGTGCTTTGGGGGGAGAGCGTTGTGTGCGCGCATGTCCGACAGTGGACTCACCGCTGGGATCGACAGGAGTGCCAGGCACATTGCCTTGGCGATGACAGCATGGCCTCCACACCACAGGCAGCTCTTTGGGAGGAGGTTCTCCTCCTCCCTTCCCCGCACCTTCCTGTTCCTTGTTCCTGTGTCTTCTCCTCCTCCTCTTCAGTGTCCTCCTCTTCCTCCAATCATGATCAGCATCATCATCATCATCATCATCATCATCATCATCATCATCGGCAGCAGCAGCAGCATAAGCAGCAGCATCATCATCACAAGTATCAGTATCATTATCATTGGCATCATCAGCATCAGCATCAGCACCATCATCATCATCATCATCATCATCATCATCATCATCATCATCATCATCATAACCCGAATCATAAACACAATCATGATCAGTATCATCATCACCATCATCATCACCAGCAGCATCAGCATCATCATAATCAGCATCACAAGTATCGCAATCGCAATCGTCGCCGTCGTCATCATAATAATAATCATCAGCAGCATCATCATCAGCAGCATCATCATTATCATCATCAATATGATCGTCGTCGTTGTCACCATCTGCCTCTTGGGAAATCCTGACGTTTCTGGGGTGTCTGAGGGCGATAGAGGGGCAGGGGGAGGAAGATAAGGGGGATGAGAATGAGGCGGATGAGTGTGACGATGATCGAGAGGAGGAGGCCGAGGAGAGAGAGGTGGGGGAGGAGGAGGAGCAGATTGAGGATGTGGAGGTAAAGGGTGACGATGGCGATGGTCACGGCGGTGGCGTTGATGGTCGTTCTGATGATCAGGAGGAGAAGATTGAGGTTGTGGAGGTATAGGGTGACGATGACGATGGTCACGGCGGGTTCCGTCTGTGGGTGAGAAGATCTTTCACTCAGGACGTGCTTGCTCGGTCCGCGGGCCGAGCATCGGACGCACGCCTGGCCCCGTTCGCTGTTCCCGTGTTCCTGTCCATCCGGTTGGTGCTGCTCCTCCTCCACCTCCCCCCCCCCCCCTCCCCTGGCCGGCCCCTCCCCGTTCGATCTTCTCCCTCCTCCTCCTGCTCCTCCCCTCCCTGCCTCCCTCCCTCCGCCTCCTTGCCTCCTCCTCCCTCCTCACCCATCTCCTCCTCCTCCTCCCCTCCTCTTCGAGCTTGTCCCCACTCCCGTTGTCGTCCTCGTCCTCCTCCTTCTCGCATCCGCCCCTCTCTCATCCACCTCTCCCTCCTCATCCACCATACCATGGGATGTGAGGCTGCCATCCATATTTCATAACGATTTTGTGCTCCGCACCCTCGCCGAGATCCCTTGGGTGGGCGTGGGTGCGCTCGGTGCTCCCTGAGGGAGGCGTCCTTGCCGGCCCTCGCTTTCTTGTGCCCGCCTGAGCAAACGGACGCGCGGCGGCGCCAAGCAGCGTCGTATCCTCCGCTAGCCCCTCCCGCTCATCCCTCCTCGTCCTCCGTCCCGGCCAGGCGATGAAGATGCTCGCCATGCAGCCCCTGGTGCTGACGCCGCTGTCCTCGACGGTGGAGGCGACCTGGCGCTTCTGCGCGTCTCGTCGTCGCCGCCGCCGCAGCGGCGGCGGCGGCCGCTGATGCCGTCGCCGTCGTGGTGGGCCGTGTGGAAAAGGCCCGCAGGTTGCATGCAGTCGGTTCTCGGAAGTCTCATCGGCACGGAGCCACGTCGATTTCGCCACAGGTTTTGAAACCCATTTCTTGTTTTGATGCGTGTGTGTGTGTGGATGCATGGGTGTTCTTGCATGCAGTCGTGCACCCTTTCTCCTTGCATTGCAGCCACCAGTCGCTGCAATGCTTGATGGTAAGTATCATTAACGTCCCAACTAGCCGGGAAACAAGTGTGTGCGTGCAGTTGGTCTCAGCTCCATTGAGGAGCCGCCAGGTCCTCCTCTCCCTCCTTTTCCCCCCTCCTCCTTTCCTCCCCTCCTCCCCCTCTTTTCTTCCCTCCCGTCCTGGGACGTTGGGTCGATTGTACGCGTAAACATGGTCTGCGACCGGGCTGGCCACGTTGCCTGCTTCCAGCGGTTGGACCAGTTGTCGGCAATTCATCGGCACGATTGCCTAAACCCTCAACCCTAAACCCCTGTTCTGGAACGAACCTAGTCTGAAGACGTTGGGCATCGAGCACGGCCGCCATGTGCACGATCGAGTGTTTCGAGGACGGCTGTGGGAGCAACGTTGTGTGTATGTGTGTCGAGCTGCTGTGGAAATAGTGTGCAAGCAAACCTTCTACATGTGCATGTACACACTTGGATGGGTATGATGATGGGGAGGTCGAACAAGAGGAGGTGGCAAGGAAGGGGGAGGAGGAGGAGAAGGAGAAGACGGAGGAGGATGAGTAGGCGGATGAAGAGGACGAGGAGGAGGAGACACCCGAGAGGGACGAAACATCAGCCCGATATAGCAAAAGGCTTGATCGTCGTGCTTCATCGTCCAGTTTGATTGGCCCAACTTCGGTGACCTCCTCCTCCTCCTCCTCCTCCTCCTCCTCCTCCTCCTCCTCCTCCTCCCCACCAGTTCAGTGGGAATACTACACTCCTCTCTCCCTTGACTCCATCCGGAAGATACCGGGTCCTCTCTGCATGTTGTTTTGCCCCTGGACTTCAAAAGTTGGTTTCTTTGGCGTTTTACAATCCGATTGTTTTCGGTGCTTGACAATGGTGTTCCCGCTGCTGCGTGGGCCTCATTTCCCGATCGGCACTTTGCTCCCGTCGTTCAGAGTAGCGCTCTCGCTCTCCAGCGCGAAGCACGTTTCCTGGATCCGAGCCGTCCTACATCGGTGTCGCCCCCTTCCTTTCCCCTCCTCCGCTGTCCCCTGGTCCTCCCGCTCCTTCCGCTCCGGCTCCTGCTGCTGCTCATCCTCGTCTTCTTCGTCCCGCTCATCTTCCTGCTCACCCGCCACCTCACCTTCCGGTGCGCAGCTCCCCTCCTTTCCCGATTAAGCTCACAACACGGTGTGGTCTTTATGTTGGAGCTGCAGGTCCTCTATGACACGCGTCCGAGGATAGGGAAAAAGTTAAGCGCAATGGGGAGGGCTGGGAGGGAGGGATATATGATGTCTGGCGAGGCGCCAACGCACCCAGCTTGTCCGAATCCTCCTCTCCTCGTCTCCCACGCTCGCCATCCGCACGTGGGCGACGGAAGAAAATGGGGTCCAATGCGCCGACATTATTGCGCAAGTTTCCCGCTCAAGGCCACGCGGATGCGCCCTCTTCTACACGCGGTGTCCCACAGCGCATGAGGTCATTATGTCATCATGCGTGAGGCGCACTTCCTTTCGCCGCTCGTGTTTTTCCCCTCCATCCTCCAACCACTCCTCCTCGGGAGGAGGCAGAAGAAGCCCGAGGAGAGTGAGGAGGCTGACTGGCGCCCTCGGCGGCGCCACCTGTGCGCAGGGCGTGCTCTCCGGCAAGGTGGCCGACTCCATCCTGGTGGGGAGGGCCTTCTCTCGAAGAAAAAACACACGTAAAATTCTGAGGAAGAGCAAGAAAAAGGTACCGATGCCGCTGCTCTTCCTGGAGAGCCCTCGCCGACACGGCTTGATTCTCCTCGAAATTCTAGTCAGAAGGCACCCCAGGAGATGTCTGGGGAGTAACGGTGTTGGTAACTTTCTCCCTCCCCAAGAACATTCGGCGGCGAGCCCGGGGAAGTGAGAAGGGCAGAGCCTTCTCAGAAGGCTCGGAAGTCCCCCGGCCTTCTGAGACACAGTACACTTCGCAGAAGTCGCGAGTGTTTCCGAGAAGTCCCGCCGCCCCTCCTCGCTCGCCGCAGATGCATGTCGCGGACATCCGAAAGTGCACGTTCATGGCAGTTTTGTTTATCCTGTACTGTACGCGCCGGTCTTCGAAAGTAGGTATGTTTGGATTCCCAGATCCCAATCTATGTTAGGCGCCTTCCTACTTCAAGGATCGGCTTGTTTCCTTCTTCCCTCCTCTTCAGGAGGCGAGCGGAAGCCCAATCTCTTTCCAACGCCTTCCTACTTCATGATTCTACCCACTTCTTCCGACCTGCGTGTAACCTTCTTCGCCGTCGCCCTCCACAAGTCGCACCCCATCTTTTCCTTCGGTTTCTGCCTCCTGGGTGCCGTTGTGGTGCCCCTGGACCGTCAAGAAATACTGGGGGCCCATGTCAAGAAACACCCTGCTTGCCTCCAGGGTGCCCTGGGTTTCTCGGGTTCCGATGGTTTCGCTCGGTGGAAAGCGTGACGCCACACACACACACACACACACAAAGAAAAAACATCCATGGACGCCCTGGGTCTCAGGGTTGGGTTTCTTGTGGAAGCTTCCTTGTGGTCGGCCCCCCACCTCCTGTAGAGCCAGGACGGAGGCCTTGACGAGATAAAGCCCCGCAGGAGGCCGTTTTTTTATGGTCGGACAATAACCCGGGTTATCGGGCTTGCCCCCCCCTTCCCCCCGCCCCCCCCCCCAGGATAACCTAACCTTGCCGGTTGTGCAGGTCCGCGGGAGGGGGGGCGTGGGCATATGCAGGGCTGCCCACAGTGCGAGGGTCCCTCCGCCCCCCCCGGGATAACCCGGGCTATTGCGGATCCCCCCCCCCAAAAAAAGCAGTCTCCAGGGGCCCGGGAGCCAGTCTCCATCGAACCTTGGACGGGGGACCTCGCCGCCGTGCCCCGTGGAGGGCACCTCGAGGCCCGAGGATCGGTGGGCCCCTCTCGGGGCTTCCTGGCGCAGCCCCAGGAGGGGTCGTGGGGGGGGCGTCTGCGGTGCAGGGCCGCCCTGAAGGCGGGGAGCCCTCGAGGTGCTTCGCCCTTGTTCCGGGCCCCTGGAGTCAGAGAAGGGAAAGGTGCCCGTCCCTCTACCCTTCCCTCGTTTTCCCCGTTTTGGGCCTCGTGGGAGGTCCTCGTCGCCACCGCTGGATTCGAATTTTTAGTCAGAACGCACCCCAGGAGAGGTCCGGGGAGTAGCGGTATCGGTACCTTTTGGTTTCCCCATGGGGAGCCTTCTTGGGCCCCAGGACTCAGACAAGTTAGCCTAGAGCAGGCACGTGTTGGGGGGGGGAGGTCTCGGGGTGCAGAACCCCAGTCGTTCATGCCAGCGTGCTCGCAGTCTTCGAGGAGCAGCAGCTGGAAGGACAAAAGGCCAGATTCATATTCACGAACTGCGTGGCGTTGCATTCTCAGTTCTTGGGTCGGCGCTGAGTGGTTGCCGAATAGTTCGTTCAGTTTTCTGAGCCGTCTGTTTCTATAAAGTCTTGCGGTTCAGGAAATCTGCATCCGTCCATCCGTTTCGCTGGCATCGGAAGAGGTGCCTGCCTGTGAGGGCTTGAGCCTCGGCATTGGGTGGCGTCTTCGGGGGGCTCTCGTCCCCACAGGTCCCAGCCAGCCGCGCCAGACACCGTTTCCCTTCCGAGGGCGCGAACTCGTGCCTCAGAGCCACGGGGTGGCAGTCCTCTTTGAACCATGCCCCTCGAGCAGCAGCAGGAGGAGTTGCAGCCGTGGCGGCGGCAGAGATTCAAGCCACTGAGCCCACCTCACGCGCCTTCACAGATGGCGGCGGGACGCCTCGCCCGTGTTGGGTGCACCACGCGTGTTTTCACGGGATGCGGCGGGACGCGGCCTCGCCCGTGCGCGCGTGGTCTGCGCGCGTTGACGCACCGTGTTGCAGTGCCGGGCCATGCAGTGCCGTTGCCGTGTTGCGGCGTGATGGTGCCGTTGCCGTGTTGCGGCGTGATGCGACGTGGTCTGCGGTGCCGCGACGCCCTGCCGCAGTTGGCCCGAGCTGATTGGCTCTGTGGTGGCCTGGCTGCTCCGACTGGCCTGGGTAGGGCGCAGAAGACGGGCAGGCTTTGGGGCCACTGCGAGCCTCGTTCGGCAGTCAACGAGGTCGGTTCCCCTCACACGGGCGAGGAGGAGGAAGAGGAGGAGGAGGACGAGGACGAGGACGAGGACGAGGACGAGGAGAGGAGGAAGCGGAGGACGAGGAGGAGAGGAGGAAGAAGACGAAGAGGAGGAAGGGAGGAGGAGGAGGCGGAGGAGCAGGAGAAGGAGGAGGAAAAAGAAACGAGGAGCGGATCCACGCCGAATGCGGCTACCGCGTCGCGCGCCCGACGCCGGTGCCGGCTTGGGACCGTTGTCGCTGGCACTGCGCGGGCTGCGGGGCGGGCGGCGTCGTGGCGGGGCGTCTGGCGGCGGACGCGGCCTGCGACCACTGCGGCGCTGGGCTGACGGTTCGGCGAGAGGAGGCCATCCTCGACTTGGAGATCCAGCGGGCTGAGTGTCCGCGGGTCTTCATCGACGTCGCGGTGCGCTACGGCGTGCCGGGCGACGCCGAGGGATTCCAGGCCGCCGCCGCGTGGGGCGGCGCCGTGTGCCGGGACGCGGGGGCGGACAAGCGCTGGCGGTGCCCCGCCGGGCGCGCGCCCAGGCGGATGGTGCGGCTAGCGTTCGAAACTCGCCGCTGACACGGCCCCGCGGCCTTCCGCCACCTGCGCGGGCTCGCGTGCGACGGCGCGCAGCGTTGGCCGGAGACGACAGCGCGGCGGCCGCGGCTGCCGCCAGCGCCCTCGCGCGCCGTTGGGGCGCGGAGCTAGCCGTGGCCTTGCAAGCAGCCATTGCGCGCCAGCTGCGGACTGCGCTGGGGGCCACAGCAGCCCGGCCGGGGGAGCGCGCGGCCCTGGCCGCGCGGCGCGGACCTGCAGGGCGGTTGTCGGTTCGTCGCAGTGCCCGCAGACTGCCAGAGCTCAGTGCGAGCGCAAGCGCGGACGCGACCGTGCTTCGGGGCTCGCAGAGGAGATGAAGAGGAAGAAACGGGGAGGGGGCGGGAGGAGGAGGACACGAGGAGAGGGAGGCCATCCGTGGCGACTGATGCGCGCCTCGGCTCGGCATTCTGCTTCGTTTCGGCATTCTGCTCGGGCGGGTGGCAATAGCGGACCTAAAATGGGGGGCACAGAAAGGTGCCCCAAAATGGCCCTCCAGGGCCTGTTTCTTGCCCCCATTCAGGTCACCCCCGTTACCACCCGCCCGAAGTTATGCCCGGGTGGCTAGAGGAGGGACCTCGAGACTCGGTCGTTGCAGTCTTTGTCACACCAGGCGTTTTCGCCTGGCTTCGGGCCCGAGGGCTATCACATATCGACCTGGCTCGAGCAGCGCCGCTGAAACATGTTGTCCAGGTATCCGGTCGAGAATTATGTTTCACATTTTTTGGTGCGCCGTCGGACCACTGGGCTGGGTTACGTTACCCACCGGCCGTTGAAAGTAGGTATTATTGGATTCCCAGATCCCAATCTACTTTAAGCGCCTTCCTATTTCAAGAATCTGTTTTTTTGTAGTTTTGGGGGGCGGGCGCAAACCTAATCTACTTCTAGGGTTTGGTTGTCACTTCCCTGGGTGACGCTGGTCGCTCGGCCCGTCGGCTGGCCCAATTCCTTGGTTTTGTTTGTTTTTGTGTGTTTTCGTTTGCCCGTCGGCTGCGCTGGTCGCCCCAGGCTCGCCCGCCGCCTTTCGGTCGCTCGGCCCCTCGGCTTGCCCAATGTTTTGGTTTTGATTGTTTTGCTCGTTTTCGCTTGTCCGTCGGCTGCACTGGTCGCCCCAGGCTCGCCCGCCGCCCCGCGGTCGCTCGGGGCCCCTCGGCTGGCCCAATTCCTTGGTTTTGTTTGTTTTTTTTTGTTTTCGCTTGCCCGTCGGCTGCACTGGTCGCCCTGGTCACGCCCGCCGCCCCGCGGTCGCTCGGCCCCTCGGCTGGCCCAGTTCCTTGGATTTGTTTGTTTTTGATGTGTTTTCGCTTGCCCGTCGGCTGCACTGGTCGCCCTGGGCACACCCGCCGCCCCGCGGTCGCTCGGCCCCTCGGCTGGCCCACTTCCTTGGTTTTGTTTGTTTTGATGTGTTGTCGCTTGCCCGTCGGCTGCACTGGTCGCCCTGGGCACACCCGCCGCCTTTCGGTCGCTCGGCCACTCGGCTGGCCCAATTCTGTGGATTTGTTTGCCTTTGTTTGGTTTCGCTTGTCCGTCGGCTGCACTGGTCGCCCCAGGCTCAGCCGCCGCCCCGCGGTCGCTCGGCCCCTCGGCTGGCCCAATTCCTTGGTTTTGTTTCTTTTTGTTTGTTTTCGCTTGCCCGTCGGCTGCACTGGTCGCCTTGGGCACACCCGCCGCCTTTCGGTCGCCAAGTCTGTGGATGTGTTTGTTGTTGTTTGTTTTCGTTTGTCCGTCGGCTGCACTGGTCGCCTTGGGCACACCCGCCGCCCCGCGGTCGCTCGGGGCTGGCCCAAGTCTGTGGATTTGTTTGTTTTTGTTTGTTTCCGCTTGCCCGTCGGCTGCATTGGTCGCCTTGGGCACACCCGCCGCCTTTCGGTCGCTCGGACCCTCGGCTGGCCCAATTCTGTGGATTTGTTTGTCTTTGTTTGGTTTCGCTTGTCCGTCGGCTGCGCTGGTCGCCCCAGGCTCGCCCGCCGCCCCGCGGTCGCTCGGCCCCTCGGCTGGCCCAATTCCTTGGTTTTGTTTGTTTTTGTTTGTTTTCGCTTGTCCGTCGGCTGCACTGGTCGCCCTGGTCACGCCCGCCGCCCCGCGGTCGCTCGGCCCCTCGGCTGGCCCAGTTCCTTGGATTTGTTTGTTTCTGATGTGTTTTCGTTTGCCCGTCGGCTGCACTGGTCGCCCTGGTCACGCCCGCCGCCCCGCGGTCGCTCGGCCCCTCGGCTGGCCCACTTCCTTGGTTTTGTTTGTTTTGATGTGTTGTCGCTTGCCCGTCGGCTGCACTGGTCGCCTTGGGCACACCCGCCGCCTTTCGGTCGCTCGGCCACTCGGCTGGCCCAATTCTGTGGATGTGTTTGTCTTTGTTTGGTTTCGCTTGTCCGTCGGCTGCACTGGTCGCCCCAGGCTCAGCCGCCGCCCCGCGGTCGCTCGGCCCCTCGGCTGGCCCAATTCCTTGGTTTTGTTTCTTTTTGTTTGGTTTCGCTTGTCCGTCGGCTGCACTGGTCGCCCTGGGCGCACCCGCCGCCTTTCGATCGCTCAGCCCCTCGGCTGGCCCAATTCTGTGGATTTGTTTGTTTTTGTTTGTTTTCGCTTGTCCGTCGGCTGCACTGGTCGCCCCAGGCTAGCCCGCCGCCCCGCGGTCGCTCGGCCCCTCGGCTGGCCCACTTCCTTGGTTTTGTTGTTTTGTTTGTTTCCGCTTGCCCGTCGGCTGCGCTGGTCGCCCTGGGCACACCCGCCGCCTTTCGGTCGCTCGGCCCCTCGGCTGGCCCAATTCTGTGAATGTGTTTGTTGTTTTTTGTTTTCGCTTGTCCGTCGGCTGCACTGGTCGCCCCAGGCTCGCCCGCCGCCCCGCGGTCGCTCGGCCCCTCGGCTGGCCCAATTCCTTGGTTTTGTTTCCTTTTTTTTGTTTTCGCTTGCCCGTCGGCTGCACTGGTCGCCCTGGGCACACCCGCCGCCTTTCGGTCGCTCGGCCCCTCGGCTGGCCTAATTCTGTGGATTTGTTTGCTTTTGTTTGTTTTCGCTTGTCCGTCGGCTGCACTGGTCGCCCCAGGCTTGCCCGCCGCCCCGCGGTCGCTCGGCCCCTCGGCTGGCCCAATTCCTTGGTTTTGTTTGTTTTGATTTGTTTCCGCTTGCCCATCGGCTGCACTGGTCGCCCTGGGCACACCCGCCGCCTTTCGGTCGCTCGGCCCCTCGGCTGGCCCAATTCTGTGGATTTGTTTGTTTTTGTTTGTTTTCGCTTGTCCGTCGGGCGAGCCTGGGGCGACCAGTGCAGCCGACGGACAAGCGACAACAAACAAAAGCAAACAAACCCAAGGAATTGGGCCAGCCGAGGGGCCGAGCGACCGCGGGGCGGCGGGCGAGCCTGGGGCGACCAGTGCAGCCGACGGACAAGTGAAAACAAATAAAAACAAACAAAACGATGGAATGGGGCCAGCCGAGGGGCCGAGCCACCGAAAGGCTGCCAGTGCGATCGACGGACAAACGAAAACAAGCCAGATCAACCGAAACCAGCCAGGGAAGGGGCCATCCGAGGGGCCGAGCGACCTAACGCTATTGCGCTCCGCTAAGACAGGGCCCGGAAATTTGTAATATACTTATTGTAATTGCTGTTGTTGTTGTTTTTTTTGGCGGCCCCCCCGAACGCAATCTACTTGTTCCGCCTTCCTACTTCATGTTTCTACCCACTTCTTCCGACCGGTGGGTACAAGTTTATTCGACCTGGGCCTCTGGGAGGTTTCTCGCCGCCACGACTGAATTCCCGTCGAGCTTTCTGCCGTAACGCACCCAATTGGCAAGCCAAGGGGGCGCTTTCTGCACCCAAGTCAGACGCCGCCATGAAGAAGAGAGGTTTAGTAAGAGGATATGAGCCCGTTTTCGAGATCTTACGGGGTCAGCCAACAAAACCGATTCGGATG